GTAAAAGCATAGTCCCAGGGCCAGTCGGACCCATCCCTCTTTGTGGTAATATGGCACTGTATGCCCAGAGCCAGAGCTGCAGCCCAGAGAGGCTGAGTGAGTAGCCGGAGATCACAGTGTATTAAAGGGATGGAGAGCTCTGCCCACACCAAGCCTAGAGAGCAAGCGTTTGCCTCTTAAGCCGGTTCTAGCTCTGTCCAGACATAGTGAAGGAGCAATGACTGAGATTTGAAGGACAGCTGAAAGATTCTGCTTTGTAATGCCACCCCAGTCCCACAACTACAAGGATGGAGAGGTGGCCTCCATCCCTGGGTGACTTCAAGGGCATGAATCTGTTCATCTGGTCCTTCATCTCTTTGGAAAGCAGTTAGGCTAGAACAGTGATTCTCAACCTTTGCTGCGCATTAGAATCACCTGGGAATCTTTTTGAAATCCTGATTTCTGGGCCTCATCTCCAGAAATTCTGTTTCTTTGTTACTAATGTTGTGGCCCCACCCCATAACAAACAGAATTTCTGGAGGATGAGGCCCAGAAATCAGGATTTTAAAAAGATTCCCAGGTGATTCTAATGTGCAGCCAAGGTTGAGAACCACTGGGCTAGAAGGAAAGGAAGCCAGGCAGCACCATCAGGAGGCAGCAGAGGCCTTAGGGCTGTGGTTCTCAACCTGTGGGTCTCGAGCCCTTTGGGGGTCGAACGACCCTTTTACAGGGGTCGCCTAAGACCATCGGAAAACACATATAATTACATATTGTTTTTGTGATTAATCACCATGCTTTAATTATGTTCGATTTGTAACAATGAAAATACATCCTGCATATCAGATATTTATATTAGGATTCGTAACAGTAGCAAAATTACAGTTATGAAGTAGCAACAAAAATAATTTAATGGTTGGGGGTCACCACAACATGAGGAACTGTATTAAAGGGTCGCGGCATTAGGAAGGTTGAGAACCACTGCCTTAGGGGAAGGGCAGGGGGCACCAGGAAAACAGGCTAAACCAGTGATGGCGAACCTTTTGAACTTAGCGTGTCAGCATTTTGTATTTAAATGCCATTTAACAAAGAAAAATCAACCAAAAAGATGAATTTGCGTGTCACCTCTGACACGCGTGTGATAGGTTCGCCATCACTGGGCTAAACCTTAGCAGGAGGGGTAAGAAATAGTGCACACTGGGAAGATGAAAGAAGTTGAAGGGCCAAAGATAGGACCAAGTTTTGATCAGCTACCTCCTGCACTATCCCCATTTGGGATGGAGCCCACAACCCCAGCATGTACCCTAACTGCTATTAGAACCCTGACCTGCTGGTTCATAGAGCCATGCTCAACCACTGAGTCACGCCGGTCTGGCTTTTCCTGAAAGTTTTGAAGATTTGGAACAAATATATAGGAAACAATTTCAATTATCTAACTTTTAACGTCTAATATTTTTTTAAGTGTTAAGTCTTACAATTTTATATGGTACATTGTGCTTGATTTTTGAAGCTCACGCAGGCTTCAAAGATCCCTGACTTCTAAGGCTCCTCCACCATCTGGTGGCAATATTGCAAATTGCAAATGTTTGTCGAAGCTGCATTCCTCAAACGTTTATTATGCTCATCACCTGGACAGGTATTGATTGAAAAGACAAGTAAAATGTGTACTATATACAAGGGTCTATGACGAATTTGGGACATTTTACTAACAAAGTTAAATAACACTACTACAGCAATTATAAATCATGAAATTTAATAGTCAATACATTTAAAATAACCACTATTTTTACAGTAATTTTTTGTGTATAAGAGACCCCCACTTTTCCAACCTAAAATTAAGAAATCAATATTTTAAACATTTTGCTGGTTTTCCTCTTAAGGCCTTCTTCTTTTTTGGCATCTTAAGTTGTTCTTGTTTTCTCCACTATCTGATCATACACTGAGTGGGAAGAGGTCCAAATTGTCTCTCTGCAGCTCTATTTCCATGCTCTTTTGCATAGCTGAAAGACAATCGCTTACCGGTATTTATGGGCTCAGAACGCTGAGGTCCCTGTTGCAGCTGTGCACTCTCCACCTCCACCTCCACCTCCAATTAGGGCATCAGCTGACGTCAGTAACAATAAGGCTCGTGATTGGAGGAAGCCTGTTTGACAAGGTATGGGCAGCTAAGCACCCGCAAGGCTCCCTCAATTTCAGTCTAATGATTTTAGAAAAAAATAGTCTTATACACAGAAAAATGCAGTAATCTCTTCCAATAACATATATTTGCATAGTTAAGCTCTTACTGTACATAAAATTTGGAGTCTTGCTTTTTTAACTTAATGTTTCCTAAGTATTGTCTAAATTCCTTAAGTAAATCTTTCCTAACAAAGTTTGATACCACACAGTGCTGGCCAAAACACTCTTGCATGTAAAATTGATTATCTTTGTAAAGAGAAATTTGCCATGTCATCCAAATGTTAGATGCACCAATTTTTTGACCCAACATTTCCATGTTGAAGAATTTGCCCTCCAAATATATTCCATGTGCAAAGTGAAATATGTATGCAGTTAGTTATTCATAGTAGAATGGTTATTCTAGCAAAGATTTAAAGCAACAAAATGTGCATCCATTAAGAATTGCCTCGCCCGGCTGGCATGGCTCAGTGGTTGAGCATCAACCTATGAACCAGGGGATTGCGGTTTATTTCCAGGTTGGGGCACATGCCCAGGTTGTGGGTTCGATCCCGTGTGGGGCATGCAGGAAGCGACCAATCAATGATTCTAATCACTGATGTTTCTTTCTCCCTTCTCTGAAATCAATAAAATTTTTTAAAAAGAATTGCCTCAATATATTGATGTATCTTTTTAAAATTATTTCGCCTTGGAAGGAACTAAGTGGAGACATGAGCCTAGGCTGGCTGCTTTGGCTCACTAAATCAGAGAAAAGGGAGCCTTGTGGGCAGGTTCAGGGGGTTTGTTTACCTGGGAGGAACTGCTGATGCCAATTGCTGCCCTGGTTGCAAGCCTCCAGTGAGGATTTAAAAACAGAAAACGAATTTAATCCTAAAACCCTCTGCCTGGTTAGGGTTAGGTTAGTGTTGTTTATGGTTAGGGTTAGGCTATGGCACTTTCCGTCCTTCCCCCACATTCTGAGCATCCATACTTACTAGGCAAAAATTAGTCCAGCCCTAGCTGGTTTGGCTCAATGGATAGAGCATTGGCCTGCGGAATGAAGGGTCCCAGGTTCGATTTCGGCCAAGGGCACATGCCTGGGTTGTGGGCTTGATCCCCAGGAGGGGGTATGCAGGAGGCAGCCAATCAATGATTCTCTCTCATCATTCATGTTTCTCTCTCTCCCTCTCCCTTCCTCTCTAAAATCAATAAAATATATTTTTTAAAAAATTAGTCCAATTCTCTTTATTTTTTTAAATATATTTTTATTGATTTCATAGAGGAAGGGGGAGAGAAAGAGAAACATCAATGATAATCATTGATCAGCTGCACCAAGCCCGCAACCTGGGCATGTGCCCTTGACCAGAATCGAACCTGGGACCGGTCAGTCTCCAGGCTGACACTCTATCCACTGAGCCAAACCAGCCAGGCCAATTCTCTTTTTTAAATGAATCTAAGGCACGGGGATGAATATCCAAGCCCCTGGTCAGCCTGAGGACCCTTGTTACCACACTGGGCTAGAGATCATCAGCTGAAAGCAGACCCTGGTATTTTGGGTCAGGCCCGTGGCCTGGCTAGGGGAAAGGTACAACCCTCACTCAGCTTTTAGAACTAAAGACAGTCCATGATTGCCGACTATTGCAAGCTCGAGGACGGCACTACCCTGTGGTGATCCTCTTCTGAAAACAAGGTGCAGGTAGCGTTCCTGAATACCTATTGTGTGCAGTGCACATTGCTAGGAGTTTCACAAGTGACCTCACTGAATCTTCATGACCGTGGGGCGTCAGGGTTCCCAGCCCCTGAGCAGATGGGGACATGGACGATCAGCAAGGTGGGGTGGCCCGCCTGGGATCACACTGCTGGCTGGAGGCAGAGGCAGCATGACACCCAGTCCATGGCAGACACTGCAGCCTGGCCCCTCCCTCCCACACAGCCAGAAGTGGAGAGTAGCTGCTCAATTAGTGTTCAATGAATCAGAAACGAATCTGAACATGCCCAGAGAAGCCATCACATTAAAGGCTGCAATTTAAAAAAATAAAAATAAAAATAAAAAATAAAGGCTGCAATTTTAAATTACAGGTGCAGAACTTGAGGGGAGGAAAAACAGTCAGTTACATGTATCTACGTTGCTGATCCTCTCAAGTCCATATCTATCCTGACCTTTCCCATCTCATTCCCCAGCTTCCCCACCCTATACCAGTCAGGCTCTTCTGTGCTGCCACCCCATCCTAGCTCATGCTTTGCAGGCTATGGGTCATGCTTCCTCCTGCTCATCACCACTCCCTTCTCCAGCCCTCAGTGTCTTCCCACTTCTTGAACTTCTAGAACTTGTCAACTTTATCACAAACTAGCCCTTAATAACATGATATATCCTTATGTTCTCTAATTTCTGTTCCTCTTGGATATTTTACCTCCCCAAGATTTCAAAGCACCTCAAGAGAGATCTTTCTCATGTATTCATTGATGAGACAATGATGGAGCCAGCCAGAGAATCCAAGGAACTCTCTCTGATCCTCAACAAGATGTTTTATTTCATTTCCCATTGTCTGATCCCTCCCATTCAGGAAAGAGGTGTAAACCTGACCAGCTAGCTAAAGCCAGATGAGACCCTGGGACCAGAGCCTGGTCAAGCAGAGGCTGTGGTCCGAAAACACCAGAGGGCAGGAGAAAGCTGTTATTCAATTTGCCAAGTCAATGAATTTCTGTTTCACCAAATATAAAGCACTCTAAAATCTGCAAAGAACTTAGCTGTGAATTATTTAAGCCTACTTAGATTGATAACAGTCAAATAAAATAAGCAATGAAGCAATGCTTACCAATTCCTCAAAGCAAACTCAGTTCTTTTAAAGGAACCATTCAAACTACAGAAAACCACCAAGCAATATGGAACCTTTATTTTTAAGGTGATTCTGTACATCTGGAGCATGAGAGTAAACCTTTTACAAATGGAACTGATTACTAGAAGAAACAATGACAAAACCAAACTGGTATTTGATGTGAATCCATAGGAGTTTAAGCTTCAAATCCAGCCAAGAAGTTTGTTACAATTTCTTTCAGCTTTGCATCTGACTGTTCTGAGATCTTTCCGTCACTCCTGTTTGGAAATAAAAGGAGATCATTAGTTCTGACCTGGACAAAAATTCAATGACTAGGCTAACTACAAAATACAAAAGAAATTTAGCAAGACTTCATGCAATTGTGTTCATACCTGATATTGCCCAACAGGGCTTGGTGTTGGCTGATAACATGAGACAAGAAAGCACTCTCAAACTTTGTGATCTTGCTGGGCTCCAGTTTATCAAGATACCCTCTTACACCGGCATAAATAACAGCCACTTGCTCTTCAATAGCCATGGGAGCTGAAGAGAAACAAAAGGATGCCAGTGAGTTGTTCAAATAAATACCATGTTACCAAAGTCAGAGAAACTTACTTTACCCTCCATTAACAAGTTTCTTCATATCACTTATTTTCACGTTGGCAGTGAGAAACTCCACCCACCTCCTCCCTAGGAAACAGTGATATTCTGATATTTGCAAGTCCTAAAGTATTACCGCTGATGAGATAACAGCATGTATTACAGCTTGTAGGAAGCTGTGTCATATTCCCACATAGTAGGAACTTGATCAAATAAAGAGAACAACTCACAATACTGTCCTTGCTTCAGCAATTCAGTCAGACGTACACCACGGCTCAAGAGTTGCTGAGTGGCAGCATCAAGATCAGAACCGAACTGAGCAAAAGCAGCAACCTCACGATACTGAGCCAATTCCAGCTTCATGGTACCTGCCACCTGAAATACAGAATTGGTTAACTCATACTATACAAAAATACTTCACTCAGTGACACAGAGCACTATACAAATAAACTTTGGTTTTAACCTAATGATACCTCTCCCCAAAAGTGATTCAAATTACCTGCTTCATGGCCCTGGTTTGGGCAGCAGATCCAACACGGGACACAGACAAACCAACGTTAATGGCAGGGCGAATACCTTTGTAGAACAATTCTGTTTCCAAGAAGATCTACAATGTAAGGACAATGTACATGCTAGCAAACTTAGAAATCAGCATTTCAAAATTAAGACACTGTGTGGAAAAACTGAAGCCCAAAAACACTAAGAATACTAAATGGTATCTTATGGTAAATAGCTCCTCAAATCTTTCACAACCCAAATCAACCTACATATTTCATTGCTGAGATTGGGAGATGTGCGTAACATGGGGAAAAAAAAAAAAGGTTAACGTTTTATTAAAATACTAGAGGCCCAGTGCACAACATCCGTGGGGGGTGAGGGTGGGGGCGGCAGGCGAGAGGAAATCCCTCAGCCTGGCCTGCAGCCTCTCGCAATCCGGGACCTCTGGCTCCTAACCACTCACCTGCCTACCTGTCTGATCGTCCCTAACCACTCTGCCTGCCTGATCGCCCCTAACTGCTCGCCCCCACCGCTGCAGCTTTGTCAGGAAGGACATCCGGAAGGTCGTTTAGCTGTCCAGTCTAATTAGCACATTACGCTTTTAATATTATATACAGGTGGAGTGAAATGATTTCTGGGATTTGCTCAAAATTATGCAGGGGGAAGGATAGCAGGGGTATAAATGAAGCAAGAAGTACTCCAAACTATAAATTGATATATGGGGTTTTGCTATACTATCCTCTTTACTTTTGCATACATTTGAAATTTTCCATAAAAAAAAAAGGTAAAATCAGTTCAGAACTATTTTCAACCAGTACATTGGAATCACCCTAAGCTTTTACATTTATATTAAGCATAAGAATACCTGTCCGTCAGTGATGGAAATGACATTCGTTGGAATGTAAGCAGACACATCACCAGCTTGTGTTTCTATGACTGGTAGAGCAGTCAAGGAGCCACCACCAAAAGAATCGTTCATTTTGGCTGCTCTCTCTAGCAGACGGGAGTGTAGGTAGAACACATCACCAGGATAGGCCTCACGACCAGGGGGTCGGCGCAGCAGCAAAGACATCTGACGATAAGCAACAGCCTATAGTACAGAAAAAGGTTAGGAAATCCACCTGTTAGACAGAAGCTACATTTGGTCAAATAGTGCAAACATACAAACAGAGTCTAAAAATACATTTATTTTGACCTGTTTGGATAAGTCATCATAGATGATCAAAGCATGTTTGCCATTATCCCTGAAATATTCTCCCATAGAACAACCGGAATAAGGAGCCAGGTACTGAAGTGGGGCAGCATCAGAAGCGGTAGCTGAAACCACAATGGTGTACTTCATGGCATCTGAGAAAAACACAGATTTGTTTTACAAGGTTGTTAATATTGTGATTTCTAAAGTAGAGGCTACTGTAATAAAAATTATCTAAATGCTTTACTAAGTGATTTACTACTAAGATTAATCTGAGTCAAACAGCTTCTACTTTAAAGAAAATGATAAAACCTTAAAACTTAGTTTTATGCTAAATTTTTACATTTACTTTTCTTTTATGTATTAACTATATCAGTATAGAGTTCATTAGAGAGTAATTAAAATCAGCCTTCATTAAGTAGACGTTATCCTAAGATTGGCAGCTACAGGGCTCCCAGGTAACAACAATGGGACTAAAGTTCTTTAATACCTGCATCTGTCAGTCTCTTCACCAACTGGGCAACAGTGGATCTCTTCTGACCAATAGCAACATAGATACAGTACAGCTTCTTCTTTTCATCAGTTCCCTCATTGAAACGTTTCTGGTTAATGATTGTGTCAATAGCAATTGATGTTTTGCTTTAAAAAGTGAAAGTAAACATAAATCTTAACTAAATGTTTCAAAGAATTCCCCAATTAAAATTTCACTACTACAACTAACCCACACATCAAAATTTTATTCTCCCCATTATATCCAAAGCATTTACCATTCCAACACTATAAAGTAATCTTTTCATAGAGCCAATTTCAGTTAGAACTTTTAACAAGCTACTGCGTCTTTACCCAGTCTGTCGGTCACCAATAATCAGCTCACGCTGACCACGACCAATGGGCACCAAGCTATCCACAGCCTTAATGCCAGTCTGCATTGGTTCCCGCACAGAGATTCGAGGAATGATCCCAGGGGCTTTCAGGCCAACTCGCCTACGGGTCTTGGAACCAATTGGACCCTGTTGATAAAAAGGAACCCCAGAACAATCAGTCTTGATATTTGATAGAAACTACAACCACACCAAAAAGGAACGACATCTAATGAATGATAAACCTACCTTCCCATCAATGGCATTACCAAGGGCATCTACTACACGACCCAACAGCTCCTCGCCAACAGGAACATCCACAATGGCTCCTGTTCGCTTCACAATATCTCCTTCCTTAATTAGTTTATCATTTCCAAACACGACAACACCCACATTGTCAGGTTCCAAGTTCAGAGACATACCCTACATAAAAGACAATTGAACACCAATGAACCCCAAGTGGCTCTTGTCCCCACATACCAACACTACATATGAAAATAGCTATAGGGAAAAAAGGCAGTATTGTTCTTTAGATCTGGTTTACTCCTAAGTATTTTTCTAATAAACAATCTTCTTTGGTTAAGACTTTTAAAATAGCGCCTTTGCCAGATAGCTCAGTTGGTTAGAACCTCATGCCAATATGCCAAGGTTGCAGGTTCGATCCCTGGACAGGGCATATACAGGAGTCCACCAATGAATGCATAAATAAGTGGAACAACAAATTAATGTTTCTCTAAAAATCAATAGATAAAATTTTAAAAAAAGGACTTGCTTCTTATCACATCCTCAAAGAGCACATGGAAGGAAAGAAATTGAACATGGTAAATTTTTCCACTGCATTTCCTTTGACCATAGCTTTTGAGCTCGGTGATCAATATGAAATAGTGATCAAGGGCAATTGGAAATTTTAAGACATAGTTGATTTACATCTTTTGACCTATAAGAAGCTCCATAAACAGTTTAACCATCTAATGAGAACCTCTACTTGTCTGGTTAATGGAAAGTGAAATTAAAAGCTACCCTATCAGCCCTGACTGGTTTGGTTCAGTGGATAGAGCGTCAGCCTGCGGACTGAAGGGTCCCAGGTTCGATTCCAGTCAAGGGCACCAAAAAAAAAAAAAAAAAAAAAAAAGGGCTACCCAATTAAGATCAAATCTTCATAACAGTACTGGGTCATCTGTCATTACAAACATTTCAAAATGTTAAGATTTTATAGCCCCTAAATCAAAACAAAAAGGCTATTCCAGGAACTCAGTCTGGTCAGTGATGTAAGATCTGGTGTAGCTATCATAAGCTCTCTGATGATATATGCCCACTTCTTTCTACTAGGTTGAGCCTAGAATACAGAGGAATATCGTAGAATATTATTGGAGGTACTGAATCTTTAGTCTAAATCTGATTTCAATATATGTCACTAACCATATGTGGCTTCTTAAATTTAAACTCAAATTTATAAATGTGGTCCCTTAGGTCACACCTGCTACCTTTTACATGCTCAATGGTCTCTCATACATACACTCGTTACCGTATTAAACAGCACAGACATAGAATATTTCTGACATTGCAGAAAGTTCTATTGGACTGTATGGGCTAACACTCTTAAAAGCTAAAAGGAGACTTGAGAGCTCATTAATTTCAGCCTAAGCTTTCAAAGACATATAAGATACACACACTAAAGATAAAAGAGGTTAACTTTTTAGACACTGAAAAAACTTTTGGCCCTACAATTCTCCTTGTACATTAAGTGGCTCTTTTTTAGCAAGAGGACCAAGGCGATCCTTTCCCCTATTTGTGTACTACTGCCCCTGGTCCATCTAGACATCAGGCTCTGCTTTCCTCAGAGAACTATGACTCCTACAACTTTTAATTCTCACCCCACTGGCCAACTAGGCTCAACCTAGTAGAAAAAAGTGGGCTTACATCATCAGAGAACTTGTGATCGCAACACCAGCAACTCGCCTCTCACCAAGAGATCTATTCTTACTAGAAATACAAAGTCAGTGACTTTGAACTTTCCACGAGAAATGAATTTATTAATTTAATTAAATGAGTTTAATTAAAGTTATCATATGCTTTTATACAAGATGATCGTCACAGCTACAAAGAACAGACTTGAACTTCTTAGAATTTGGGTGAAGATTTACTAAAACTATGTATTTAGGAGCTAATGGCTATGACTTATGTGAAAACCCTTAAATTTATTATGTGAAAACCCTTAAATTTATTTTCACAATCTATGACAATGACTACAAAAACCCTGAGACAGATTGAGATTTAAAGTAAAAAACAAAACAAAAAAAAACCTGACATAATGATTTACTAAATGAATAACTAAAAGACAACCCTAAAACAGCAAAATACTATTTTATAATTTACCTTTAAGCCTGAAGAAAACTCTACCATTTCTTCTGCTTGGACATTCCTCAGCCCATGTACTCGGGCAATACCATCACCAATACTTAAGACACGCCCAGTCTCTTCAAGGTCAACAGAGGTATCAGCTCCAAGAATTCGCTCTTCAAGAATAGAGGACATCTCCGCAGTGCCTATTGAGAGCAATTCCATTACTAACACTAATCTGGCCCCAGTTTCTTTTCAAAACCTATTCGCATAACAACATGAATAATATAGTTTGTGATCACAATGATGAAATTATACTCCAAAAAGCAATATATGTAGTTCTATTCAAAAAAGCATGAGATCTATGAAAAAGAACCCACGTGATTCAGAGAAAACTTCACAAGACAGATTAAAACATCCTTAAAATAAACTTGCAAGGGCAAATTCATAGATTAGCACCTAATGCCTTTGATGAACATAGAGGTAAAAACTGCCTACTTTTTGTAAATATTTTTAGGAGAGGGGAAAAAATCTTTTATAGATCAGAAACCACCACCTGACATGTGCACATTCTGTTTCCACTCAATGAGACATTATCAGAACAAAGAAGCTGTACTAACATCAAAAGAGAAATATATAAAACTGTAGTTCATTTCACTAGAACAAGCAAACCTACCAACAAAGGACTAAATGGCACATTGTGGGTTAAGAATCTGAGGTTCTGCCAGGCAGGTGTGGCTCAGTGTTGACCTATGAACCAGGAGGTCACAGTTCAATCCATCCATGGCAGGGCACATGCACGGGTTTCAAATCGATCCCCGGTAGGGGGTGTGCAAGAGGCAGCCGATAAATGATTATCTCTCATCATTGATGTTTCTCCCTTTCTCTCCCTTCCTCTCTGAAATCAATAAAAATATATTTAGGAAAAGAAAAAAATAATCTGGAGTTCCGCAGTAACTAAAATTGAGAGGAAAAAATTAACAAAATAGGGGGGAAAAGCCTGCAACAACTATGTAACTTATCTTTCATTTAATGAGAAGGTAGTAAGTGTGGTGTAGATTTAGAAATAATGACTCACCAATCTTCTGAAGATGAGTGTTAGAGGCATGGAGATTCCTTGTAGCAATGAAGGATGATCCCAGAGCATTTTTGGAGACCTAGGGCAAAAATATATTTTTTTAAATCTGATTTTTAAAAAGGCCTTTATAAAACTGGCTAGCTTGAATGCAAGCTTAGTTTGATCAAGTTATCTGTTAAGATATTAATTATACTCACAATATTTTGCTTAAAATTGGAAGACTTTTAACAGATGAAAAAACACTTTTTTGATATGTAAAAACCTATTTGCAGTTCCTGGAAGTATAGTAACAGTTAATAAAGCATCTTTCCCTTTAAAGGTATCAGGCACTATTATTTTGACTTTAGAGATATTTATATTAAAAAAAAAACAACAATCAAGAGCCCAGCCAGCGTGGCTTAGTGGTTGTGCATCCACCTAAGAACCAGGAGGTCACAGTTGGATTCCCGGTCAGGGCACATGCCCGGGTTGCGGGCTCAATCCCAGCGTGTGCAGGAGGCAGCCGATCAATTATTCTCTCACCATTGATGTTTCTATCTCTATTTCCCTCTCCCTTCCTCTCTAAAATTAAAAAAAAAAAGAAGCTCACTGTGGATGGGTCAGGGCATGGAGGACCACCTACAAATAGAAGGGCGAAGCATGTTCCCCCACATCCCATTGGTCAGAACGCAGACACTTACTCACCCATCTAAAAAGGCTGCTGAGGGACACC